AAAAACAAAAAGAAGGACAGGCAAGAATAAGAGAGGAGCCAGGAGGAGTTGAAACTTGATGCTTGAGCCAGGCGAGAGCCCCTACTTCATGATCATCCACACAAAACGTGACTGGAGCTAAGTATCTGAACCTTGCTAGGGAGAGCTTGCTCTTCTGTGTTTTTAGGGAACTTGGGCTTCCTTTGTCAAAGACGCCTTGGTTAGTGACATCTTTCATGCTTAGGGTGCGTTTTTAGAATAGGGAGATACACTTCCGTTTATTTTGTGGCATCAGGGGTGCAGAAAGAGAGAGAGATTTAGCTGCAGGTTGTTTTGCATTTTTTAGAAAGGCAGCTTATCTCTTACTTAGCCTCTGTAGGCATTATTACGATAGTGCACGAACAGACTCTCCCCGGTCTTCTGTCTCCTGCTTTGCTCTGTGCTCAGTCAGTCTCGGGGCTTTTCAGGGAAACCCAGCTCAGCTGTCATGGTGGAATCATTCAGCCTTTCCTTGCTTCCTCCCTGTAGTTCAGCACTGTACTGTGGAAACTGACTTTAATTTGCAAGAAGGGTAAATGGCCCTTTCTGTTTTTGTTAATATGTTAAGCAACTAGCAACCCAGTGACTTAAAACGGCCCCCTCTGATTTCTCACCTTTATCTTTGCACGTCTGGAAGACATGGGGAATGGTATCCGTGCGAACGGGATTCTTTTTTCAAGAGGAGTGATTATCTCCTGTATCATCGCCTCGGCTCGGGTCGCGCAGCGAAAGGGACTAAGCGAGCGCTTCGTTCTGTGGCGCAAGTGAGCGCGTATGTGAGGCGGCTGGTTTGTGGCAGAGCGCGGCTCTAGGTCTGTACCTGCCCTGTGAACCGCCTCGGGCGCTGTGCTGTGCTTCCGTTCCAGGCTCGTTGCCGGCTGACCCGGGGGTTCGGTGCCGGACCAGTGCGGTGGAGCCGGGCTCCCTGAGCCGCCCTGAGACCCGCGGGGCTGCTCCCCTCCTCCCTCTCTCAGGGCGTCTCCCTTGCACCTGCCCTCTCGACACAGCCCGTCTCCAGAGCCCAGGCCGCGCCATCGCCGAGGCTGACTTCCGGCTGCCCTGGCTTGGCTTGTTCCTTGTAATTACTGTATTTATGTAAAGAATTAAACAGCTCTCGACCACGATTCTCCTCTGGGAGGAACTGCTGACCTTTTTTGTTTTTTGCCTGGCTCCTTCAGTCTGGGTTCCCCTGCAGACAGTGTTTCCCAGCAGCTTTCCTCTTCATTGGAAACCACTTTCCCCTCAGCCGACTGGACTGCCCTCCTCTCACAGCTTGTCAGGCCTTGACGTCCACTCCCCTGCCCCACGTCTCCCTCTCCGCCCCGTGGCCTTGCTGTCAGACATCGTCAGTGGCTGGAAGACTGGGGCACTTTATCTCAATATACCAGAACGTTTTTAAAAGGATGCGGTAGGGCTGGTTGGTGCAGGAGGAATACTGTGTGCTGTTTTAGGCCACGCTTATCATAGGCTTTTACTGCCTTGCATGGAACCGGGAGTTTTTTTTGTTGGAGCAACTTCCCGAAATGGCGTGACGCACGGGCTGCAGCTGTGTGGTAGGCCTGCGAGCGCACGGGGCAGGGGAAGTGGGACAGCAGCAGGGATTAGCCCCCAGAAGCTCTTGAGCCTGTTCGGGAGATTGTCTCTAAGCGCCTTAGTCCCTTAGCTGATCCGGCGCTCAAGCAGAGCAGCCCCGCAGAAGCCCCGGCCTCCACATTGGACGGCGACACACAAAACATAACACACAACTCCTTGCAGCACAAAACAAAATACTGTACTCGCGAGCGCCGAATATCGCACGGCGGCCGACCTCCCGTCGTACACTTTGCGATCGATTCAAAACAGTTTCTTTTCTGATTCCGTTGAACGAGTCCCGGGAAATGGTCACTTGCGCTGTTGCCGACACGATAAGGATGAAAGTGTCCGCGGTGGCTCCGTTTCCCTTCCTCGCCTGAGCTCGGCGGCAAGGTTAAAGGGGTGGAAAATCGGCCGAGTCGAGATGAGCACAGGTTCTGTCAGGGCGTAGAGCACACCCGGAGAAGAAGGACCTTTTTTGAGGCTTCACTGGTGCGACCAGTAGAGCACATGGCTTGGGCACCATCTTCCTCGATCTAGAATGGAAATCGCAGGCCAGCCACAGACACAGCCTGTTTAGCTTTCAAGTTTCAGATTTCTGTTGATGACGAAGACTTGAAACACTAATAATATATTCATAATCGATTCTTTACGATTATGATATATAATACTTATATAAAAAAATAAAATATATTACATTTTATTTATATTAATATATATTATAGTATCCATTAATATGTATATTTATAGTATCTAGTTACTATTAATATAATTTTATAAAAATATAATGTCTGGAAGCCGTGTGCTCACTCTTCTCCCTTCCTGCAGACCCAGGCGTGCCATACCAGTGGAAAATAAAGGTGGTGGTGGGGGGCTGCGATTTTTAAGAATGCATCATGAAATCTTTGTCCCCCCCCC